TTAAATATTCCTGTTTGTCTTAATTTTTAAGTTAAAAATTTGGTTAGAGATAGAGGGAGAAAATGTCAAAATAAAAGAGAACCCTGTGCAGGTTGGGATAATACCTAAAATAATGAACTAGCCAGACTGGTGATAACTTTGTATTTTGTAACATTCAGTTTAGGTAAATGCTTTTTCACTGCTAATAAATGTATACCCTACATAGAAACAAAAAAAAAAGAATTAAAATCTAACTTCATAAAGCACTCTTAATATAGAAGATAATTCATTAAAGAATTATACAAAGGGTGGGGACTACCGTGTCACAGATAAAATCTTGAATTTTTCAAAAAGCATTTTAAAATGCTCAGTCCCATTAGTAATCATGGAATCATTTCCCATTTGAAATGCCAATTTAGATAAAAATGAGCTACCATTTCATAACTAACAGATTTGGGGAAAAATTGATTAGTATTATACATTGCATCCAAAGTAAAACCTTGGGAAACAATCTGGCAACTTACTAGTATTCAATGAGTATAGTGATTCTGGTGTCACATGGAGAAATTTCTCAGTGTGAAGAAAACATGAACCAGAATGTTTATCATGGCAGTTTATACTAGTAGGTAGATAAACTGATTCATGTATATAATGAATACTGAAAGCAATTAAAATGACTGATCTAGATCTATTGATGACAATGAAAATAATTTTTAAAATATAATATTGCATATCAGAAAGTTACAAAAGTTACATACAATATGATATGTCTGAGTAAAATTTTAAAGCATGTATTTCACAGAATAAAAGAGGGGGAAGGGATATTTTATTTTTCTAAAAACAATGAAAACTATGGCAAAATGTTAACATCTGTTTAAACTTATGGATATATGACACATTGTTTATTTGAAATGTTTTATATTTTAAATTCCCTGGTGTAAATTAAATCATTAATTTTTCTCCACAGATCCCTTCTTTAGTCATGGTAACAGTTTTCATGGTACAGGTGGCCGTGGCAACAAGTTCGCACAGATGCGTTACACTTTAAGACTCCTGAGAGCCATGGTCCACCTTGAAAATGAGACTGTGAACACAGATCTTTGTGAAAAGGGAACAATCCAGCAACTGATAGGTAAAATTAAACATGGCAGCTATGGGTGAAAGAATACTTATAGGTTAGATATTGTGTTTGAAATATTTTCCTACAAATTTATTTTGTCTTTATGGCTGAGAAACTCCTGAATATTTCCTTTATCTTTTTTCACATTGTAACTTGTATATTTTTTTCTTCTTAGTGAAACCTCATCATCATTATTCCTTTAAACATTGGTTTCCTCAATCCAAAGACTGTTTTATTTAGAATATCTTTTTAATGCACTATGTTATTTTTTTTCATCTAATAATATGATCACTACTTTTGGTCAAGCATTTCAGAGCCACTTTAAAAGAGGGTAACATTATATTTTTCAATGCATTTGACATGCCAGAACATTGGTATATAAGTACTATATAAGTTTGTAATTGACTACGTTAAATCCCCTTGTTCCTTGAACTGTGAACCCAGTGTAAAATTCAGAATGCCTACATAAAAACTGCTTTACCTTTTAGTATGTAACATAGCTCTCCAGCCCATATGTTTCCTACTCTGGAGTTGTTTCAGTCATGCATATTCAGGGTTTGCTTCATATAAATCATATACAGTTGGCCCTCCATATTCTTGGACTCTGCATGCAAAGATTCAAGCAACTGCACATCAAAAATATTTGAGAAAGAAATATTATGACTGAACTGAGAATGTACAGACTTACTTGCTTGTCATTGTTTCCTAAACAATATAATATTTTCATTGTATTAAGTATTATAAGTAACCTAGAGATTATTTAAAGTACACAAGAAGATATGTTATCGTTTATATGCAAATATATACAAGGGACTTGGGCATCCATGGATTTTAGTAACCAAGGGAGTTCTGGAACCAATCACACAAAGACACAGAGGGATTCCTATAATCTGCTTCTGTTAACTTTCATTACTGTGACAAGTGATATCTGAAATAAATGAACTTACGAAGAGTAAAGTTTTAGTTTGGTTCAGTTTTAGAAGGGTCAGTCCATAGTCAGTTGGCTTTTTGCTTTTGGTCCTGGGTGAGGTGGCACATCACGGTGGTAGAACTTGCCCAAGAAAGCTGCTTCTTCATAATGGCCAGGAGTAAGAGAGCGAGGAAGAGGAAGGGGTCAGGCCCCCATGAGCTTCCTTTCTTCCCCTTGGCTCTACCTCCCAATAGGGTCAAAACCCTGGACACAGGAGCCCTTGGGGTCACCACGATACCAGCTAAAACAATGCTGTGTCAATTAATTACAAATGCCTACTCCAACCCTCTTCTACCTTTTTATCCATCATTCATAAAAAGGGATAGAGCCCTCCGATTATAATGATAGTAAGGGAAACAAAAGTATATTGAAAAGGGAGTAGGCAAAATTGTCGACCTTTTCCCTTTAACTAGTAAGAAGCTGATCTTTATCATGTGAGCTCTCAGAGGCAGGGACCTTGTCTTTTTTAATCTAACAGGGCTATGTAGTACAGTAGTGACATGCTTTAAAAATAGTAATTGCATTATAAGTTGTAAATATATAATTTCTGCGTAGACACTGGGATCACAATCATGTAGATCAGGACACTAGGGACCTTGCCCTTGAGATAACAAAAGAAAACATATGTATATCAGGGAAAAAGCATATGTTACCTGTGTTTTGATTATCGAGGCTATCTATACAATACTGTGTTTTAGGAAGAAGAATCTGAAAGAAATAGAATCATTTAGAATAGAATAAGGAGGGGGACAAAGGCAAAGAATTAAAAGGTACCTCAATATGAAGAAAATAATCCAGTATGAATGTATTGTGTGTTACAGACTGCAGAGAAATTCAAGCCTGTGCTAGAATGAGATAATCTAGAAAAGAGAAGGAGACCTGTGGCCAGCTGGTCACAGAATTCTTGAAGTTGTTCCTGCTGAAGGAACACGGACCCTCTGTCTATAGCCTTGCCCTGCACTGGGCCTTCAGCAAATTCAGCTATTCTCCCTTGGGTTTGGTCCCCCACCCGGATTTCATCAGGGACAAGAGTAGTTCTTTAAGGCCAGCTGTGGGGGCAGGCTGTGGTTTCCTGGGGAACATACCTTCCTGCTTTCCTCCTAACAGCAACCACTTTAACAGAGGAAAAATTATTTTTGTTCAATACTAAAAGCTTAAAGGAAATTCATTTCTGAGGCCAGATTTCATTGTGCGTGTCATTTCATCAGTGTTAGTGACTTTTTAAAAGTCTTTTTCAGTGTTGATTAGAAGGAAAGGATTTTCAAGGACATGGAATTCTGCTGCCTAAAGTTGTTGAAGACACACTCAGGTGGATATGAGAAGACGCAGAAAGAAATGAGATGGAAACTGGCTGAGGGAGGCCTTCCACTTTTGTTAAAAATGAAGAGAGGAATAGACAAGGCAAACTATAGTCAGAAATTTGGTCATTATTTGCATATGCCAGCACTAGGGATTGAATTCAGGAAGCACTAGCCTCGAACTTGCAATCCGCCTGCCTCAGTCTCCCAAGTACCCGGGATTAGATACGTGCCACCACGCGCAGCTGTTAGAGAATCTTTTAGTGATGCTACATTAATTCCGCATTAGAATTTCTATACATGGAGGACTAATAATTGTACTGAGACAGTCTACATATACAAGTTTATAAAACTGCTGTGATTGATTATATTGAGAGCCTAAAGAATCCATTTATCATCCCCTGTCTAAAACCTCTGGGTTACTATGCATTGAAAATAGCCCCTTCTAAAAAAGTTTCCCTAGGTGAAGAGACTTTTTAGAAATATTTCCAAAATGTAAATGATCCAATTTTTTTAAAAAGCAGTGTCCAATAACATTACATTCTTTAAATTTTTTATACCAGGAATCTTTAAAAATATTATAAGCCATCCTAATGAAAAAGAAGAGGCCATTGTTTTAGAAATCCAGTCTGATATATTACTTATCTTATCTGGTCTTTGTGAACATCATATTCAAAGGAAGGTATGTTTGCCTGTAAATCAAAATTTTGTTCAGATCTCCCAGTCAACTGAAACAATGAATTCTCTAAGTGCCTGCAGTGTCATTTATTAAACTTGTGAAAGTTTAATTTAATATTCTTTTTTACAGTTAGAGTATAATTAAAGTGCATAAACCTTATATATTTTGGTAGGTTTTAATGAACCAATACTCCAGTTCGAACACAATATTCCCATCTACCTATAAGATTTCTTTATCCTCTTACCAGCCACCTTGACACCTCCAGTTAAGCACTTGATTTCTATCCCTATAGATTGGGTTTGCCTAATCTTTAACTTTACATAAATGAAATCACATAATATTTACTCTTATATCTGCTTTCTGTTATCCATAAAAAAATAACAGCAACATTTCTGAAATATCCAAAAAATGTATACACACTTCAGGAAAAAAGAAACTTGTATAAATACTTTAATACTAAATTTATTGAGACATCGTGAGATTAATACAAGTTACCTTTTGGTTCTACCATTACAAGAGATGCTCAAAGTGGTGCCCTTAGTTTCCATACATTTATTAGTATGGTGAACTGCTGCTTGGGTAGCCTTAGTCATTGAAATTGCTGTGCTTGCATTTTCAATTTCTTCTCTAAGGGCCAGTAGTGTACTGGGCTTCAATATATGACATCCTCTAGGGTCCCCCATGTGAGAGTAACACCATCTTTTGAAAAAACATCGTACTATTTTTCTTTTTCCTTATAGCATAAGTGTGCATACATTTTTTGGCGATAGATACATAGATAGATAGATAGATAGATAGATAGATAGATAGATAGATAGATCAATCTCAGTCACTAGGTAATTCTTTCTTGTTGCTCTACATTCTATTGTATCAATATACCAAAATCTGTTTATTCATCATGTAAGTTATAAGCACTTGGACTGTTTTCCTTCGGTATAATTATGAATAAAGCATCACTGAACATTCTTGGACCAGTAATCCTTGTGAATATAATGCTTTCATTTCTCCTAAGTAAATACCTAGGATTAGAATTGATAGACATAAAGGGGGTGTATATTTATCATTATAAAAACTGCCAATTTTCAAAAATAGACTGTACTATTGTGAATGTTTTTTGGAAGTTACAATTGGGTTCACAATTAAAAGTAAAACTTATAACAAGAGCTTAATTCCCTTCAATCTCTTTTAGCTCCAAAGTAAACTGTCTCAGAAATTTATAATTTAAATAAAGAGCAGTGGAATTGGAAAGATAACAATATAAAACTATGAAGGCTTAAGTAGACAGATTTTAAGGAGAGGCAAGGAAGGGTAAATGTAGGTTTAGCTCTGAGCTTTGATGCAATTTCTTGTATTCTACCTCCCTGTGTCTGGGCTCTTCTAGAAATATCATCATAATCTTGCTGATGGGAACCAGAACAGACCAAAATAATGAAAAAGATAATCAGTTAAGGGGAAAATTTTAAATGTTAATAATTTTGCCTAAGTTATCAAAAAATTACCATTTATATACATATTTCTCTCTTGGGAGTATTATAAAAAGTACTATAAAATCTTCTATGATAATTACTACTGTTTAGTATTCATCTGGTATGATTTTAGACTGCATTCATGGTAACATGGAAGAAAATAACAGGGCAAGTCTTACTCCTTTTTTAAACAGAGGAAAAGAAAAAACAAAAATTATAAAGATAGCAAGTTGATTAAGGTAGGCATGCTATTAGCCCTCTCTTAAAATGGTAAGCTTTACAATAATTTGTCATGAATTCCTGAGAACAAATAAGTAGAATTTTTAAATTGTATTTAAAATACTGTTTTTCTAATAGCGTTACTAATAATATTTTTCTGGTAGAAAAATACCTAGTTTTAGGGAATTAAGTGGGGAAGAGAAGGGATTATATATTTATGTCAAGAAATAATTTTAAATAAATTTCTTCAACAGGAAATTTTGGGAACTGAAGGAATAGATATAATTCTTCGTGTAATGAAAACAGATCCCAAGAAGTTACAGAGTGACTTAGGCTACAATGTACTTCTTTTTAGTACACTGGACAGCATTTGGTAAGTATTACTGTAACCAAGTTAGGTTAAAAATTACAGTATGAGAAGATTAGCTTGACAACTATAGACACTAATTTTCTTCACTCAAAACCATATCAGAGGGCGGGGGATTTAGCTCAGTGGTTCCGCCGCCTGCCTTGCAAGCGCAAGGACCCGAGTTCAATCCCCAGTACCAAAAAAAAAACAACATCATATCAGAGAGGTAACCTTCCCTGGGCCATTTTACTTCCAATAGTCCAAGTAACACTGTACATTATCAAACAGATAGCACTCTTACATATAAAATTAAATCGTTGTTTTTGTGATTTATAGCCACTCCAGCTTGAAAACACAGGCCTCCATTGTTGCTCATACAGTGTTCTGGCTCTGCTTCTGGGATCTCTGTTTCATTCTACTGGTCATTTGTCTAAGCTTTTATAATACTGTGCTGTTTTAATAGTTATATCTTTTTAATATGTTTAGATATCTGATAATCCTCCAACTTTTTCTTTCTTCATCAAGATCATCTTACCTTTTTGTGATGCTTTGGATTTAGATATTGTCAAAGTTCTCCATAGAAATAGGATGTATAAGAGTTGTATATGTAAAGAGATTTATTATAAGAAATTGGCTCATAATTATGAAGGCTGGAAAGTGTCCGAAAGCTGGAGACCTGGGAGAGGTGATGGTGTAGTTCCAGCCCATGACCAGCAGAGCTCATAGTCCACATTCCATTCTGAGAAGTACGCTTCCCACAGGAAAAAGAGCCAGCTTTTCAGCAGGAGGCTAAAGGCTTATATCCCAGTTCAGCAGTCAGGCAGAGAAGTTCACACTTTCTCAGCCTTTTATTCTGTCCAAGTGTTCAACTGACTGGGTAAGATCCACCCACATTAAGGCCATCTGGTTTATCAGATCTACTGATTCAACTGTTAGTCTCATCAAGAAATACTCTCACAGACTAAGCAGCTACATGTCCAGTCACCCCAAAGGAGAAAAACCTAGAACCACCTGGGTTGAGGGGAGCCAGGTTCTTGTCCCTTTGGGCACCAACCCCTCCCTACCCAACCCCACACACACAAACGCCATCATGAAACAAACAGTAAAAATAATGTTCTCTTGCCTTCAAGAGGGAATAATCTTTAGGACAGGGACACAGGACGCTGACTCTAGCAAGTCAGTGCCTCGGAGGATCAGAAGTTAGTTTCCTTACTACTCACCACCACCACCACTGCAACCACAATAGCTTACTATTGATTGTCCCCAGGGGGACATCAGTAAAAGTAGCTCTGGCAGCAGCTTCAGTTCTTCACCCCATGAGATCTGCAGACTTAAACAGCAGACATGCCAGCAACTAATCTCAACTACAAAGATGAGATGTAATCAAGAAGCATCATATGTTTGTGGAACACCAGCCTCATGAAAAAGAGACAGTAAACAGATAAACCTTGAAAAGACAGTTATTAGAGCAACAAGAGATCTTTAAGAATAACTATTGTCACGAAAGCAAAGCACTTGCAGAAAAAATAAGAATAAATTGATATTTTTTTTAAAAAGTTAAAATTAACTCACACTGCTAAAGTATCTTCTAAGTTCTACTTTTTAAGTAAAAAACATTAGTTATTTGATTTAAAGGGATGAAGAAAAATTTGAAAATGCCTTGAAAGAAAGAAAGCTCTGTACATTGAATTTAACAATAAATGTTTGTCAATGAATAACTTTCTTTTAAGGTGCTGCATTTTGGGGTGTTATCCCTTAGAAGATTACTTTCTTGAAAAAGAAGGCATTTTTCTCCTGTTGGATGTTTTGGCTGTAAGTATGGTTACAGCGATTGTAAGTCCAGAAGAGATGGGGTGGTGAGAAGTAAACCCAGAGCCTCGCACATCCTGAGCAAGTGCTTTGTCCCTGAGCTACACCCTAGCCCTAACTGTCTTGTCTAACCTTTTCCAAACTAAGTACTACAGAAAACTATCTTGTCAATAAATGTCTCCCCGAATCAAGTTCAAATATATTGTTTTAAACAAAATCTTTCCTGGAGATTTATGAAACACAAAATGTGAACATGAAATATTAAAGATTCTGAAAATTCCTCTAGTTAAGAAATCAGTTTACTTAGTGTTCCTAAATGCATGCAAGCAGAGAATGTGTTTTTTCCATCAACCTGCTAAGGAACAGTTTGTAATAAGCACGTCTGTACTAAATCTCATAGACATTATTATAACTTCTAGTTTTTCCCCTCATATTAAAAGTTAAAGGCATCATTAGACAAAGCTAAGCATTTTAAAAGTACTGTGTAGAGTGTGGAGGTATACGAGCAAAACACCATTTTGCAGGATGAGCAAAAGTGAACATGTGAAGCCTTCCAGGAAAGACAGTCACCATCCAGCAGGTGTGAAGAATATAAACTTCAATTCTAGCCTCAATTCTAAATCAAGATGATATAGAAGAAAAATTATAATTTCATTCCAGTAGAATTTTGACATTCTTATGGGGAGTGTTAGCTCTGTCACAATCTATGATTGCCATCATTCTTGATTTTATTAACAGAATAATAAACCTACTTTGTACTTATCAAACATGCCAAAAGTATTTTTATACCTTCATGTCCCTAAAATACAATTGGTTAATAAGTGTTTTATATCATCATCTATAAAACAAGGATAACAACAGTATCCACCTCATCACACTGTTGGAAGAATTAAAACAGTGATCCTGTGTGTGCACATGTGTGTACATGCATACATGTGTATACATAAATACATTGGTTAGAATAGTGCCTGATACATTGCTACATATTTTATTGCTGTCTTATTAATAGTATTACATTGATTTTAATGTGGACTGAACCAATAAATTACAAATTATAAATATGCTTTAATGAAGTTTTTATGTCAACTTCAACCTATGACATTTGCCTCTTCTGAAACTGAAGTACCCACCTAATACAATTCAACTAAAATATTTATTGAGTGTACAGTAATAATTTCTAACATTGTTTAAATATTATTGAGATCTTACTATGTGCCAGGTAGTCTCATAAAACACTCTTTGCAGGTAATATTATCTCATATAAGGAAAACAATCATGTTTGTAGTTCCAAAAATCTTACATTTCCCTTGCTTTATTCTATGAGCAATTTAAGAGTTAATCAACAAAAAAATTTTTCACATTGAAAAATGAGTAGGTGGAGGGCATTGCTCTGGGTGAAATTTCTATACTTAAATCTTTGCTGAAAATAAAGAAAATATGCTTGACAATAACAGAATTTTTCTTGAATGCTTAAATACTCTGTGGGTATGATTAAGATACAAGATTATATCTCATTGTTTGTTAAGATACAAGATTATATCTCCCAAGATTATAGCTCACTTTTTGTATTTGACTGTCACAGTTACTATCAGTTATTGTCTTGATAATGAAGATGTTATATTTAATATGACTTTTTCAAATTTTAATAAAACACAAAATGTGAAAACCCTGTCATTATAGTGAACCATGTCACTGCTGATCTTTCTCCACTTAAAGTGAACATCTGGGCATGGGGTGTAGCTCAGTGGTACAGCACTTGCCTGGCATGTACATGGCCCTGAGTGTGATCTCTAGCTCTGCAAAATAAATAAATAAACTTAAAATATCTTCACTCATTTTTGCAAATCTCCCTTTTCCAAACCAACCAAATCAATTACATTTTTGATCATGATATATGTTTATGACTACTTTAAGAATTATAATAAATCTTTTTTAACCTCTTTAATTTCTAATAGTTGAAAATACCCATGACAGCAGATATCTGTTTTTAACAGATCGTTCCCAAATCATACTTAGATTCTTGAGGTAGAGGGAACTTACCGATGTAAGTATTTTTCTCTTTTCTTAACAGAACCAATCACTTAATTTTTATCACAATTTTCTTTCTTTTCTGTCTTACTGCTAAAGTTAAACCAAAAAAAATTCTGCAATCTAATACTTGGAATAATGGTTGAATTTTGTGATAATCCCAAAACTGCGGCTCATGTCAATGCTTGGCGAGGGAAGAAGAATCAGACAGCTGCTAGTCTTTTAATTAAATTGTGGAGAAAAGAAGAAAAAGAACTAGGAGTAAAGCGTGATAAATATGGGAAGATCATTGGTGAGTGTATTTGTGATTGTTAGTGGAAGCAATCGGATGTGTATTTTTTAAGAGTCTTAAAGAGTACTAGGAAAATATGAGGATTTTCACCCCATTCTCTAAAGTTCTTTGCACAAGGATTCGAAAAAGTTGCTATCATAAATTCTGAATGATTGGCCTAACATTGTGGTACAAGCCTGTCATCCTAGCACTCTGGGAGGCTGAACAAGGAGGATTTCAAGTCTGAGCCAAACCTAGGTGATTTAGCAACTTAGTGAGGCCCTACTCAAAATAAAAAATAAGAAAGGGACTGGGCATGTAACTGAGTTTAAGAGCTTTGGGTTCGACTTCCAGTTTGGCCAAAAACTTAAAATTAAAAACAAAATTTTTATTATAAATTCTGAATCATTAGAAGGAAACAGAAAATTAGTGGCAGGTTTATATTTGTATAGAATATTTTCAAAACATGGTATTTTTCTACATTTCAACTCAAAACTTAATAGTACTTTCTAATGAAGTTTATTTGGGTTTCTTGCTTTTACAAAGAGATTCAGTATTATTTCATTTACCAATAAATTTTGGGGATACAAATAGAGTGCTTCATAACAATTTTAATAACATTTTGTACCTTAATATTTACATAATTTATAAACAAATTGTTTCCTAAATAAAAATAAAACAAAGGTTCATATATTTTAATTACCATACTCTAATGAGGTTTCCAGGACCAGAATACATAGTTAATTTATGTATTCTATAATGCTATATTACAACTTCCAAGCCTTTTAAGATTCTTTTTTTTAAGCAGGAAAATTTGTTGGGTAATAGGATAGCTCCTGAGAGAAAGGAGGGGTCCTGAATGGGTTGCCCAGCCTTTTAATATTCTAATTATGGTTTTGTTTTATCAAAAATATCAATGTTCTTTGTTCTTAAATGAAAATGCTTCTACTTCTGATGATTTCTACCTTCTCCCCCTGTTTTTCACTTGAAGATTTTTGTTTGCTTGTTTGGCTGAACTGGGGATTAAAGCCAGGGCCTTCTCACTGAGCCATATCCTCAGCCCTTAAAAAAATATATATTTTGAGACAGGGGCTCTTTTTTAAAAATTAATTTTATTGCTACATTTTAGGTATACATTATGATCACATTCATCATTGCGAATTTCTACCTGTATGATATATCTTAGTTCTTGATTTTTCCTATTTCCCTTCTCTTTTACCCCTCCACCCCTCCCTATTTACAAAAGCTTTGTTTCCATTTTTTCTTCTTTTCTCATATTTTTTTTTGTTCCCTCTTTCCTTTCCCCCACCCCCCTCCCACTTCCCCTTCCCCTTTGAACCTTTGCTTCTTATTTCACATTATCTATTATACCTTTTGGTCCTCATATACACTTTCAGTTTCTCACATCAGAGACAATTCAGTATTTACACATGTGTGTCCTATTTATTTCACTCAATATGGCCTCAATATGCATCCTTTTAGCTACAATTGTCTCAATAATAAATGGTGGCAGGGATATGGGGAAAAAAGGATCCCTTCTTCACTGTTGGTGGGAGTATAGACTGGTGCAACCACTGTGGAAATCAGTGTAGAGATTCCTCAGAAAAGTAGGATCAGAAGTCCCATTTGAACCAGCTATTCCCCTGCTGGGTATCTTTACAAAAGAATTAAAAGAATCATACCACAGTGATATATGTGCACCTATATTTATAGCAGCACAGTTTGTAATAGCTAAATCTTGCAAACAGCCCAAATGCCTGTCAACTGGTGACTAGATAAAGATGTGATATTTTATAAAATGGAGCACTACTCAGCCATGAAGAATGATAACACTGGGGCTCTTTAAGTCACTATGTTGCCTAGGCTGGGCTCAAACTTGGGATCCTCTTGCCTTAGCTTTCTAGAATGCTGGAATTACAGACATGTGCCACCATGCCTTGGTTAAGTTTTTATCTATAACATCACAAAATATGTTTTATATTTATAATAATATAGATAGCAAAAACAAAGAAATTACATCACTGTTGATCTGACATTATTCAGTTTCTGGATCTCAAAGATGTACAAGTTACTTACATAAAACATTCCCTTCTATAAAATAATTTTGTAAAATTTATATTTTGTATAAATAATACAAATGAAAGGTTTAAGTTTTGCCACAGAGTGGAGAAGAAATTCCTGATTATACTTTCAAAAAAGTAACTATGTATAAGGCACTATCTCACTATTATAATGTTTTTCAATATTTTTGTTATATAGACTAAAATTTCAAAATTAAGTATTTATTTACTATAGTTTTTATCTGTTCCTTCCATACTTTTGTGATATCCAATGATTAGATACAAAGAAACCTCTATTGACTGGTTTTCAAGAAGAGCAAAAAGTCATGCCTCTGCCCGCTAACTGCCCGTCAATTGCAGTCATGGATGTTGCTGAGAATATCAGAGCAAAAATATATGCTGTGCTGGGCAAACTAGGTAAGCAGGTACTTCTCAAATTCATAAGTGCTTCCCTGTGTGGCTGAGTGTCACCAGACAGTGATTTTGTTTTGGAGTCTATTCTTCAAACATGAATAAAAGTGCCTTCCTATGGATAAATGTGTGTTGCATTGTTACCCCAATGCCCAGAGTGCACCACTGACCAAATAAATCAGAATCTCTGTATGTGGAGCCCCGGCATCAGTATTTTTTAAAGTTCCCCAGGCAATTCCAGCATGCAGCTAGGATTAAGGGCAGTTAGTTCAGACGATCAGGGTTTAGCATTAGCATTCTGAATCGCATAAGCTTTTTTTAAGTCTTTGCTTCCTATGAAGGGAGTCCTTATTCTATAGCTTCTGAAAGTAAAATATCCCTGTCTGCCCCAACACAGAAAGAAAGTTTTCTCGCACAATGGCCTGATGAGGATGACCTCGTGGAGGCTGGATATGGGAGGGGCCCACACTCACCAGAGCAGCTATTTCATAAAACTGGGATGAACCCAAAAGGGACTGTTTGCATTTGTTTTTATGATATGCTTCTTGGATCACTTGCTCTGTTTAAGTAACTCTGTTTATAAACGTTGTTTAGATTTTGAAAATTTACCTGGCCTATCTGCTGAAGATTTTGTCACCCTCTGTATCATACATAGATATCTTGATTTTAAAGTAAGTACCTTTTTAATAATTTGTTATTAAAATCTATTATGACAAAATAAATTGCAAAGCAATGATTTATTCATAGCTGTGAGCAGTCATCCACATCTTGTGTCGTTTTTATTTTCCATTTTCCATCTACATTTGTAAACATACCATTAATTGGGTATTTTTCATGAAGTAAGATTTCATCTGGGGCTGGGGATTTAGCTCAGTGGTGCCACGCCTGCCTCACAAGCATAAGGTCCTAAGTTCGATCCCTGGTACCAAAAA